TACAAAGTAGGAGATCCATGAACACTGTCTGGCTGACTTATTCTCTTGACTCAGGAAAGTCCACAAAGTAGCATGCATGTTGGCTCCCCCTATTTTTCTGCCCATGCCAGATGCAGCATATGATCACATCCCTCTCTCCTGCTAAAATTGAATGCAGCCTCAAAATCCTTCTCAACATAGGACTCTGGAAAGCCGTTACCCATTCTATGTACTGATGTGTAGCTTGATCGGGGGAGGGGGCCAAGGCTAAGGATGTTTGAAGTCCACACCTGAGACTGTCCAAAAGCATCAAGTCAGACCCTCTGATCCCTCCAGTCCTCCACTAAACCTCCTCTGGAAGGACCAGAGGGTTAGGGCCAGGCCCATTCCTGCAGGACACTGGGTTCAGTCCTCCCCAGGTTCTAAAGGTTGGTGGAAGGAGATTCTCTGAGAGCAGATTTTCCATCCCACAACCTGCCAACATGACAATCCAGGCTGAGGACATGTGGCTCAACACCACATGGAGGCTGAGGAGAGCTTCTCTTCCACCACTCACCCCAGAAAGTCCACCCTGGTGTGACTTTGGGGGGGGATGTGGGGAGGTAATTAGGTTTATTTATTTATTTACTTTTTTTTTTAGAGGAAGTACTGGGGAATTGAACCCAGGACCTCATACATGCAAAGCACATGCTCTACCATGTTGAGCTATACCTTCCCCCCTCATCCTGGTGTGACCTTGATCTCCTCTCTACAGTCACTGACTTTGATCCTCTTCCCTAAGGCCCAGCCACTGGAAGCCACCAAGAGGAGAAATTGGGAGGCCAGAGAGAAGGGCCTCAGACCCACTACTGGTCTACATTAAAAATCATTAGAAAATTTCTGGGCATGGCCACCATCACTGCCCCAGCCATATCCCTAGGACTGCCAGTTGTTCACATCGAAAATCCCACCCTCTCTTATTATAGGGAATCAAGGTGGTTAGGAGGTGATATTCTGGAGCAGCTCTGTCCAATATAGCTTTTTGCATTGATGAAAATGTTCTGCATGTGAGCAGTCCTACATGGAAGCCACTAGCTATAAGGCTATTGAGCACTTGAAACGTGACTAGTGCAGTGCAGGAACTAAGTTTTTAATTTAGGTTGATTTAAATTAACTTAAATGTAAATGAAAATGGCCCTGTGTGGCTAGTGGCTACCATACTGGATACTGTGGTCCCTTTAGTTCCCTGTCCCTGGAGGGCTCAACTCTCCTCGCTCCCAGAGCCCAAAGGGAAAGAGAGGGACAGATGGACAGAAGATCCTTAGCCATCGCTGAGTCTCCTTCTTAGGTCTGGGTTTTTGGTTTTTGTTGGTTTTGGTTTTGCCTTTCTGGCTCATCCACCTTGTTACCAAGGCAACTGGATTAATCTGAAATTGGTGAGGAGAGTCTCTCTAAATTCAAATCTACAAGCGGCTTGCAAACAGGCCCGCTGTGGCTCCAGCAGGGGGCACCCCTGTATCAGCCCAGGTCCCCGCCCAGGACTGACCTGCCAGGAAGCAGGGGATTTGTGCGGAGCGGTTGGTGAGGAGGCAGGGGTCATCGTGCAGGTTGTCGAAGGGGAGCAGGGCCCGCCCGTTGTCTTGGAAGCGGGTGTTGACAGCCAGCAGCCCCAGCTGGTTGGTCCGGTTGCGCAGCCTCATGGCCAAGGGGTCCTCGCTGCCGTACACCATGCTGGCGTCCACGAAGGAGGTGAGCGCGTTGATCTGGTTGCGAATGGTGATGTTGCTCCCCGTGCAGGCCGGGCAGGAGCGGAAGAAGGGGATGCAGTCACGTTGGTTCTTGATGCGGGGGTCATTGGGGGGGATCTGCAGCATGGAGAGAGGCCCAGCGGGCTCACCGAGGGCAGGGACAGAGGTCAGGAGTGGCTCTCCCCCGTCCACCCTCCTGAAGGCCTTGATCTCATCTTGGGGAGGGGGTATGGCCTGGAGCCCAGGACCAGAAGGGGAGACCCAGATATCAAAAAGGAGTTCTTCGGAACTTCTGGCCCCCTCAGCCTGCAAGGAGACCCCTCAAGGCCCACAAAGATTGGTGGGCCTGCGGTTCCACCAGCAGAGCTCCTCTGATCTGGGGGGTGATGACTAGGACGTTGACCTGGGGGATGTGGGGCCCCCTGGAGGTGGGCGGGCCAGTCCTCTGACCCCTTCTCCCCAAACCTCCTTTCTCTCCTCTTTTCTGTGTCTGCTCCTCCCTACTCCGTCTTCTGAATCTGGTCTTCACCCTGCCGGCTTCCTCTTCCTTTTCCGTTCCTCTCGTAACTGTCTCTCTACCCTGCCCCTTTCCTGTCTTGCATTCTGGCCCTGTCTTTCTCTACCTCTCTCTCAGATTCTACTTCCTTTCTCTCCTCCACTCTACTCTGCATGTGCCTCAGCACACCAGTCCGCTCTCGGCCGGCTCTAAGACCACAACCCAGGATCTGTGTGCTGTGGACTGTGGGGAGGGAGCCCTGTGTGGGGAAGAAAGAGGACTGAGCCTGGGGCACCTGCAAACAGAGGTTGGAGGGACAGTGGGAAGTGGGCAGGGCCAGCCCTACTGGGGAGCTGGGGAAGGAAAGCTGGGCACCGAGGGAGGTGGCCCCTTCCAGA